CCCTACCATTCCTTCTTGACCACCTTTTCCTGACCATCTCAAATACCTTCATTTACCTAGAGTTTATGTTCCAAAGACAGAATTTTTTTCTTACGTTATACAATTGTCTGTTAAATCACCTAGAATTCTTGATCCCTGATTTTACTGTTTTAGTTAGGTAAAGGGCCTGATTGCGTAGAATCTGTACTAACGTGTGCACTGTGTCAAACAATTAATTGTGCAAAATGTTTTAGGAGAAACATGTTACTAAGCATTGGACATACGTTTTTTTATTGTCCATAACTTAAAAAAATACCCATCAACAGCGTAGATGGCAACTATGTTAGATTTAAATGGAGCTCATGATCTAACATCAATGTCCGTTAATTATAAATCTCACCAGCTTTGCTGAAATTGTATCAAGTACCACTTTGGTGATTGCTTGCAGGAGGAATCAATAAAATCTACTTAATAGGAATGTACAGCTTGTCTTGAGGAAAGTAGGAGACTCAACTCTGTCTCGCATTTTGTCAATGAATACAATTCTTTACAGGGCCAATCCTTCCTTCATGCTAAGAAAATGAAATATGTGCAAGGACTTTCCTACAGAGTCTCAAGGAACTTTGTGATAGCACAACAGGAATATTGTTTTATCCATAGATACTGCAAGTCTGTCACAGTCCTCTCTGAAAGTTTGAATCTGTCAAAGTTTACCAGAGTTCAGCATTAACTTATATGGAATTAATTTGAACAGCACTTCACTTCAAGAAAAGAAAATCTATAATAATACAATTAAAAACCCATACTTACCAAATACTTTAATGACTGATCTGTGCTACTTTTTGCTCAAATAGTCTAAGCCCTAACACTGAATATAGTAAACAAGGTAGGGCTTAAATGAGTTCCTAAGGGGAAAAAACCCACCAGATGATCAGCTAATGTAAAGCAGTAGAGGTGCACACTACTGTATACCTGCTGCAGATTTGGCCTATATATATGCTTTAGTGGAGTTAATCCTAACTTATAACAGAAAGTAAGTCCAATGTGTCTTTAGTAAAGCACATATGACAGAAGCAAACAAAAAATAGATTGGTGTGATCAAGAAGAGAAAATCCTTGCAGTTTAAACTGCCATCAGCATTATTTTAGAAAATAAGACCAGAATTTCACACGGTGTCACAAGATAATATACAGCGCTATTGGTTAGGTATTAGAGTTTAACCGCCGAAAGGCAAGTCCTTGTGGGACAGATATCTCAGCAGGCTGGTCAAGTTACTTATCACCCTTTCTGAGCACTACTTGAAGAAAGAAGGCAGACTGATATTACTCGATGACACAAGGCTTTTGTATAGATTGCATTAACGAATCTGTTGCCAGCTAGAAATCACATCACATTGTCCAGAGCTGAAGATTAATTTGCTGGGACTCCAGTAGGTGATATTTATTATCTTGCATATTATACTGAGATCTCAGACCAGGCAAAGGATCTGGGGCTGAAAGAATGTAATCAATGCTAAATTTAATTTCAGAGTCCGATTTTCCTAGGTTGGAGTTGCTTAGGCTCTGTTGGCTGGAGGCATTGTTTGCAACAAACCCATGAGGTTCCAAGAGTCGGGGTCCAGATTGCGTTTTCTCACATTTACTTTCATGAGAGGAGATGCAGTGCAAACCAGAATCCATGGAAGACATTTCAGGGGAAGAGGGACCTTTTCCTCCACTAGATCTCTGCTCTTTGTGGTCTCTTTTCATGTTCCTCCTCCTCCGTCTTCGCCTGTAATTCCCATTTTCAAAAAGATCCAGCATGGATTCACATCCTGATGCAAAGCTCCAATAGTTTCCCTTCCCCTTCTCATTCCCTTCTGTTCTGGGAACCTGTATTCATTTAAAGGCAGTTCAGTGTTTGTATGCATTACAGATGCTGCTGCTTAACATCTGTGTTCATTTACATTTAAGAATGGGTTAAACATACATGACAAGCCATTCCAGCCTATTGTAGGTAAAATCCAGCCTCTTCACTTTGTTATATATTAACATACATGAGACAAGAACATGCTTTTTTACCTTTTCAAATGACAACTTGGAGGCATCACAAGAGATTTTAAGTGGCTTGTAGCTCATAATGTTTGGCTTCCCTTCTTTTCTATCAATGTTTAGTGAAACTATTTTGACAGGGAGATTTTTAGTCATGCGGCGTGTGGCTGCAAATATATAGTGACTGATCTTACCTTTACAAAACAACTGTTAAGCGATAAGTTATGTCGGATGGAGTTCTGCCAGGCTCTTTGATTTGATCTGTAGTAAGGAAATTTCTTCATTATAAAGTCATAAATGCCAGAGAGAGTCACTTTGTTTGAAGGGCTTTGCTGAATGGCCATTGCAATTAAGGCAATGTAGCTGAAAAAAGAAAAATCATTGTTATGCCATTGCCTCGTATAGCTATAGTCTAGAGCTAGGTATGTCCACACCACCACATATACACACATATGTATATAAGATCCCACTCAAAGAAGTTCTCCTGATCCTACATTGTTATTTATGCCACTCCTTGAACCTGAAATGCTTCATGTACAGGCAGTACCAGGTCCTCGCAGAATCCTTTTGCTTTCGTCCAAGAGAAAGCTCTAATGTTCATTGATTCATACACGATGATACACTGGCATTGCTAACAGACAACTGAAGCCCAGTCAAACTGTTTGCCCTCTCACTCAGCAGAAAGTGCTTCATTTTAAAGAGACAGAGGGAGAGAAACCCACCAAAATGTCAAGCTGTGTAAGGAAACTTTCCTGAGGATCAACATTCAAACCCTCCATCTCTGCCCTCCTCTTAACACTGGGGATCTCACCAGCTTGACACCAGCTGAAGACGCACTGGATAATATTATCTTTTCTGCCTGGGAAACTCATACGGGGCATCTTTGCTCCACTACTGATTTTTGCCCCCTCCCCTGTTTCCCAAATGAGACTTGTCTACGTTATATTTCTCAGTGCCCTTACAAGTGCAGAAGAGAACAGTTGACATCGGATGATACAAAGGGACTCAGGTCTCGACATCGAGAAGTTACATTCTCTCCAAACCAAAGGGGAAAGGACTTTTCCACCCCGTTCCCTGCGCCTGGAATAAACTTGCTTACACCTGAAAAGACGCCCGTGGTAGTTATTAGAGAGATCCTTGGGTGAATTCCCATTACCCAACAGTCCCGACTCTCACCCAAGAGAGAGGAAGACTTTGAAAACTTCACCTTACCTGTATGCTGGTCTGGTGAATTTTTTCTCTTCATCAGAACTACAGGTTGGATAGTCGTCCCCGTCATAATTAAAACAGTTATAGGGGTACTGCGTGTTATCAAACATCTTCCTGCTCCTTGCTCAGCTCCTGTGGAGTGAGAGAGATGAAGTGATGTTTCTCCGTGCCTGGGCTCCCGCCTCCCTCTTTCCCTCCCCTCCCTGTCTTATTCTCTCTCTCTCTATTCCCCCTCTCCCCTTCTCTCTCTCACACGCACACACACATGCATACTCCCTCCGTCTTGGGTGGAGATTGTTTTTGTAATTCTTTCATCCCAGACAGCCAGTCTGTTAGATATTCCTTGGGTTTTTGGGGGTTTTTTTCCCTTGTTGTTGCCTCCAATCTGGTTATAGGAAAGGCAGCTAATAGCTGATTAAATTGGTGAGGTCTCTCATGAACCTTTGAACTTGGGTGTGTACAGCCAGTAGCTCAGCTTTGCTCTCTGGGTGGTCTGGGCTGGAGCGGGGCCAGCCGTTTTTGCCATCTACATACACAATGTGACAAAAGCAAACAACATGATGTTAAATCATGCTTCAAGGTTTGTTCTTGCAAATTCAACTTTGAGAGCAGGGTTCCCCCTCCCTGGGATTTTTCTCCCTCCTCCCCCCCCCCTGC